TGTCCACAAAAAACGTAATGACACGTCACATAAATTGTAGACCTGGTACCAACAACACAATTACATTTATTTTTCAAGTCATTGTTGCACTGAAGGTCGATCAGTTCCATTTGAAACTTTTCGGGAGCCCTGTCCACATTGACACTGAATGCAGAAGAACCAAAGTATTAACTGAAATATTTCCATAGATTCATAAATTAGTCAGATGAGACTAGGATATGAAATAAGTCAGAATACAATATGTAAATAAAAATGGGAAATGATTGCCATTGTTTTTACCTGCCTAGAATTCTCTATTTTAAGACTTTCATATGTTGCTTGGTACCACTGAAAATGGAAAAACACATTTCCATTCTTCATCATCAAACTCTAATGATTTTGCTCATCATTTCTAAGAATTGCTATATTTCATTTTGCAACCTACATTAAGTCAAACTAGTATCACCACATTACAAGATGTGTCTGATCGTAACTGAAAGAAATTAAAAATATGGGGTGGCACCCAGTTTTGCCAAAAACTGAACAAATGGTACTACACTTGAAGGAACACACACAAACTGGATGGTACTAATCTTTGTTTCCTTAAAAAAGAAATATAGGCCAACAGGAGAATAAATATAAATATACTTACAGCGTCCCAAGGAAGAGGTCCATTTGGTATCTCCCCTTCCATTGTAAAAGTACTGCCTGAACCAGTTTGGCCACAGGCTATAATTGTGAAGTAATATCCGTCAAGGATATCACTAATCATCGGTTGTACAATTGACTGGTACATTTGAACCTTATGGAACTTCATTAAGAATAACATACCAACCAATCTGCTGTAATTTCATTGACAAAATAAGTTCACGGCTCAAGTAACATTATATCATGTACCACATTTGAATATGAGATATCCAGAGGTCAAGTAAATATTTATGAAGCCAATCTAAATTGCCATTCTGTCCTGGAAATTTGCAAAATCTCTTCACATTTTAATTTGCATGAATTATGGCTTTGCTAGCTTGAACAAGTGGATTAAAGCCAATAAACTCACATTAAATTTTGTACTACTAACAACAACTGTGTTACAGAAGGTATACAGTATGAGGATAAAACAATTGAAGAAAGAGAAACAACTCAATTTTCTGCCCTATAAATTGATTATTTGATTTTTCTTTATTGTATTTAATTTTCTTGTTGATACATATTGTATGAGTTGTCATCTCCTGAAACAAGAACCTGTAATATTGCAGTCAGCTTCAACCAAAGTTGCATTCTGTAAGACAATCCCACCAGAGTTGCAGTTAGTTGGGAAAAACAATAGGATGTTGGGAAACCCACCGCGTACGTGTCTTGGAGACATGTGTTGTCATTTTGGGGAATATAACGGAAATGTTGTGGTAAAGACGACACCAATCAGTCACCTTCTTTTATAGAGTTCATTTTGAAATTAGGGCGTGATCAGCCAATAGAGAGTCACGTAACAAATATTACTTGACATGTGATGCTGAATGAAACACGTATTTAAACGGAGACGTTTCAGAAGTTAGACACTTCAGTGTGCACAGAATGTGATTTAAAGGAACCTTGTTCAGGGGGGAGGTCGTCAGGTTAGTCCGAGCATTCGACTAACATGGGACTTCACAGAATCGAACAGATATGGGTGTTTCTATTGGCATACTCATGTAAGTAGAGAACTAGACAATCTTACAAGCCACGCATTATTAGTGCTGAATATACGTACTACAGGAGGTGACTGGTTAAATGTTGAATAGTTGAAAGATTGGTACTTACAAACACATTTCATATTCAATTACTTTGTATTTAATTTCTTTTGTCAAACTAATTATTTGAAATATATTTACTTTAACCAGTGTTGTGATTGATTGTAAGAAGTTACCTATGGGTTAGGTGGGGATAGGTATCTTTCCTTATTCCCATCCTACAGCCATAACAGTTTGGTGGCAGCGTCACGATTTAAATGTTGTAAGAACTCAGCCTTCAGAACGCGCTATGGAATATAACCCTGTACTAATGTGCTTTATTATTATTTTTATGTTGTGGCTTATTAGTTTCATTACATTTGTCTTTCTTTACTGTGAATGCTGATGAATATATATTAGTAGTAATTTATATGGGTTGTTGTGTTTCAAAACCAGAAATAGGAGAAACTGAATTTACTGTACTGCATGTTTCACACCCGCATGTTTTACATGGTTCAAGTGTATATGCTAAAGAATTAGTTGAAAGATTTTTTTGGAAACATACTAATATTTACCCCACATTAGTAGAACCACACGCTTATAAATTCTTGGGATTGTTAGCGGATTCACGACTGGAAATTGCATTCGTAGGTCACCCTAAAAGATTTCAGTCTCCATCCCATAAGATTTATAAATATGAACCGTCAGTAGGATTAACAATAGTTTTTGAAGTAGAAGTACGAATGCTTAGGCGCTTTATTTGTCCCGGATAGTGTCCTCAAAATTGAAAGGACAGTACTCAGCGAGGTTAAGGGAGAACACAGACATACGTGTGACTTACGCAGACGCAGCCCTGGTGTAGAACAAATACCCACCTGCTAATCATCAATAGGTGCATAGGGTATTGGGTGGAAGTGGACTGACGTCAAAGAATAACGCCATTTGAAGCAGAAACAGTCTTGCTTGACCACAAAGAATCCTGGTGATTCCATGTGTGGAACTTGGCAGAAACACTTCTTCATCTTCTATGGCTCTCCAGTCCGTATTCAGTCCATGGCCTCCTCAATTTTCCTCTTCCACTCAGTCCTCTGTTAGGTCTGTCTGTCCGAGGCTTTGAAACATCTTCCTTTTTACGATGTAAGGTTGTTAGCCTTGTGACCAACCCCCAACCTGGAGGACCAGGGTACCTGTCTTAGTCTGACCTCTCCCCCTCGACCAATCTGGCTAGGGAGGCCCTACCAGTAGCT